ATATTCTTATTTTGCACGTATTAGTATATGAGATTAAATATTTAATTCAGCCAATATATGAAGTCATACTTTGATTCATATAATGAAAATATAATTAATGGCATGTAGTTTTCAAATCACAAAATTTATCGAAAGAGTGGACACTATCCCCAGCGTTGGTATCAGTATTTTTACTTACATATGCCTGTGCACTCTTGAGAGTCGAGAGGGGAGAGCTTGCTCTTTATTCTATTCAATGATAAGCTGTTATAAGTTGTAGAATGTTGTCCAGCGGCTTTAGCGAATGGGCATCATTGGTATTTCTTTACAATTGCAAAACATCATATGCTTTTACGTTACTTTCTTCTTTTCTTTAATATTCTACTTTTCATAGTGTTGTAGCAGAAAGGTTGTTACGAATTAGACGTTCAACCTTGTGCATAGTTGAAAAATATTGTATCATGGTTCAATCTTCTCCAAATCAGGTGCCTGAAAACACGCTCAATAATACTGATCAATATAGTGAAGCCAAAAATAGGAAAGATACCCAATCACGTCCACAGAAATCCTCAAATCCTCGTCAAAACACGAATAGCTCTACACCTCAAAACATTGATGACCTCCGTAAGCAAATAATAAAGTTAACTGAAATCATCGAGCAAAAAAAAGCATTTCTTAATAGCTTGGGAACATCTCTTTCAAATGCTTACATTGAATATAGGAAGAGGTGTGAACCCAAGATCCCGAAGGCTGTAATAGAGGAGATTAGTGCTCTCTCCAAGCGCAATGCAATTTTGAGGAACAAGTTGAAGGCGAATGAGGAGAAGGAGAAGAAACTTACCTCAAATTGGCGTGTCTTAAACAAACAAAATGAACTAAAAGCATTACAGCGGGAACTTGCTAAAGTTAAAGAGGAAGTAGAGACCCTCCAAATGTTGAGGCAGCGACGAAATGAAAAAATGCGCGAGATTGATTCTGAAGTATCTCAGGCACGTTCTATGCGTGACAAGCAACGTGAGTTTGAGAATGAATCACGTGTACAATGCAAATCACTGGCAAATGACCTTCGTCAGATTACTAAAGAAGATCTCAAGACTCACAACCGGTATATTCGCTTGCAAGAACAGTTAAAGACAGGCATTACGGTAAACGATCATGAATCCCTGAAGAAGAGTATTGAAGGGCAGGAGGAGCAAATCCAACACTTGCAAATTGAGGAGCAGAAATTAAAACGGAGTAAGGAAATGGATCGTGATGGAAAACATAAAATTATTTCTAAGGAACAGCAAGAATGCAAGCTTCTAGAATCCAAGATAGCTGAACTCCAAAAACAGCTCCAATAAAAAGATTCGTAACGTCAGCGTAGTTACCAATTCACACCTAAATAGACCAAATAGATTTGTTTTTTTTTCCAGTCGGTTGCTATATTTGAATTGAATCTATAACCATGACTATGTTTTTTTGGATTAGGTCTGTGCATTTGACTCTTTTTTACAAGTTCCTTTTCTTGAATTTTTATACTTCTGTTGAATGCTTTTTTTTGTACATACTGCTTATTATTTTTATTGCCTCATATCTCTTCCTCTTTGATTATTTTAATGTACAAAATATTCACATAAATTGCTTCATTTCTTAAATATTGACACTCTTCAACTAAAAGACAAAAAATGTCTGGAAAGTTGTATCATCTCATACAGTAGTTCTATAAAGTCTATATGGATTAGCTTCCTTTAACTATTCATGCTTTTCTTTGTAGGACTTCAGCTTGTTGCGTCCTTCCTTTTTTTAAAAATGGTAACAATCTTGCTTCACTTTTCTTTATTTTATTTTCTGACCGATATGTATACCTAAACCGGAGATATTTTGTAAGGATTTAAAGTCATTGCAAAAGTGAAGCGTTTCGCTTTAATTCTACACTATAGGTCTATTTATTGCCCTGCATACATCTATATGTATATACAGAATACTTGTACAATCCAGGTGGAGCATCTCCAAAAAAAAAATCAGTGACATTTCCACCTTTTAGTTGTGTTGGATTTTTTTTCAACTCATTTAAAATTTGATAGGATGCCTGGTATTATGACTGATGCACCTACCGAAGATGCAAAGGAGAGGAGTATGCCAGTGGTAAAATCAATACTTTCACATGATCCTGCTTCACAAGCATCGTCGTGTCTAGCAGCCTTACCTAAAGTGACATTTGTCAGTGTCGATGTTGATAACCCGACGTTTTCTACAGATTCTGCTCTTCTTTCTGCTAAAACAAAAACGGACTCCCCAATTCTGCGACCGCCACCTCTCTTTACACTGGTAAACCCATCCACTAGCGCTTCCGTATCCAACACCAATGATTTAAGTACTCATAAGCGACCCTTGACCTTGCTTCAGCGCCGAAACCGAGAAAAAAACGGTATGAACATGTCTAGTTTTTCCGAATTGAGTGTCGAGACGATCCAAGACAGCCTCTGTGAGAGCTACAATACATCCTTACATGAGCCTGTTGCTCCTGTAATAAGAGGGTGGTCTAGAAAAGTAAAGGCTTTCCTGAGTGAGGATCACTACCAGGATATATCGAAAGCTTTGTCCAGACAGCATACAAAGGTATTTCGGACTGAGCAAGCTAACGAATCCCCTTTACTTATTGTAAAGCCTAAGGGCGATAGCCCCGTATCATTTCAACTCCTGCGAGCTCTCAAAGGCGCCTTTACGATTGCAGCCTACAACATCCTCGCTGACCGCTATGTGACCACAGACCACTACCACCACTGTCCACCTGCCGCGTTAGGGGAAAGCTATCGTCTTACGCTTGTTCAGAAGGAGGTCCAGGAAATAGCACCGGATATCATTATCTTTGCCGAAATGACGGTTGATGCCTTTGAGAACAGCTTGGGGGTCTTTCTTAGAAATTCGATGCACTATGAGGGGGATCACCTGGTGATTACTGACCGGAAAGGCGTACCTCGCTGTTCCATGAGCGAAACGAATGTGATGAATGAAGCCTGCTCGCCATATATGAAAGACACTGCGGGTAATGCTCAAGAGAATCCTGTGGGCATCTGCATGGATTCTTCTATATCCTGTAAATTTTCCAACAGTCCAACACTTTCTGGTTCACCATGTGCCACTGACTATTTTAGCGAAAGATGTTTAGTAGATCATGAAAAGGACGAGATCGAAAAAAAAAATCTTGGACTTGTTGAAGTTGTTTCTCGTCGCACAGAGATGGAAGGAGTTGCCATTTTCTACAATCGGGATCGCTTTAAACTTCTGGAGAAGATACCTATTCGTTTTAACAATGTTGCTGTACAAGACCCTGACATCACTGATACTGAGCTGAGGAAATTACAGATAAACACGCACAACGTGGCGCTGGTCTCCGTACTCCAAGACCTAACGACGCCAACACAGATTTATATAGTGGCTGCCGTCCACCTATTGTACCAACACGTTAAGTTTCAGATTTGGCAGAGTCATTGGCTTTTAAGTGTGATGGAGGGTCTTAAGTGGAAATATCAAAACTACGACGAATGGCTACAGCGCCAGATGCCCACGTTTTCCCTCGGTGTAGGTTCCCAACCCTTTCATCGAAACGACTTGACCTCGCTCTATGCGGTGCCCGCCTCCTTTCCCGACGAATCCTCGGATCCGCGGCACGTCACGTGTCTTATAGCAGGGGACCTGAACGTCGATAAGAGCAGCCCGGTTTATAACTATATCCTGAAGAGTACCATTTTAGCCTCGACGCCGGTGCCGCAGCGTTGGGGCCCGTCCGGGGAACCGGGCCGGGAGACTTCCCAGAGCTATGCCGAGGAGGGCGGGTGTGGTGGGTTTAGTTCCTCCGAGTCCCCGCGGACCTGCCGCGCGACGCGGGCCTGCCTCCACGGCACACCCTACTCGAACGATCACGCGACCACCACGGCATCTTTGGAAGGGGTATCGTTGGACCCGACGCGGGAAACGTGGGCGGTTCCTAAGGTCAATACGACGTTTGCCACCTCTTTGGTCTCGCAGAAAAGCTTTTTATCTACGTCATCCGATATTCTACTGGATAAAAATACTCTGTTAGACATCAACAGTAAGTGTGGTGATGCGGATGGGAGTAGTACTGATCCCATGCCGCGAGGACGGACCTTTGGTTCGCAGCAAAATCTCGAAAATCGTCTCCTAAGGCCCAAAGTCGATGAGCACCACGTTGTTCAGTCATCTGACAAACGTGATATGTTTGAGGAGGCGTCCTTTTTGTCATACCCTTTTCCTCATTTGCCGTTTCACCGACAAAGCCCCAGGTTAAAAAACAGTTCGGTAAGAGAATCCTTTTGGCATGTTGATTCCAACACAACAGGCAGCTTTGAGTCCTCCGAGCTAATCAAAAAGGACAAGCTCGTAAAGTGTCAAGCTACCTCTAGTATAGTCGTCGAAACCAGTCGCGATTGGAATGTGAGCAATGAGTTCACATCCCCTTTGGGGCTCTCCAAGCATTTCGACGCCGCTCTGACAAAAAATGTGTCTGTTTCTAGCCTAAAAGAGGAGCGTGACCTAGACGTAAGTTCCTCTTTACATCGGTCAATGCCTCTCGAGGGCTTGGACGTAGCCAGCAGTGAGGCAATACAAAAGGGTTCTAAGATGGCATCTGTAGTCCTAGCCTTAAACCTACTTCCTCTTAAAAGGCCGAACGCTACGGCGTTTGAACAGCAAATGAGTTCATCTTGGTCTCATTTGATAGATCACCGTGAAGGCTTGGACTCCCCAGTAAAAACTTACCCCGCTTTTGATCAGACTATTTCCAGCTTTTCGCAAACCCCACATCAGTCGGATTCGGCGCCGTTGATGTTGGAATCCTATTCTTCCATGTATCCGCCCGATAAGAAGTCCGCAACCCCCCCACTGTGTATTATTTTCCCCAAATTCCTACATCAAATTCGTTTTAGCGATACCTACGAGGCGTACTGTATGTCCTATCCTTTGTTTGTGTCGGCGGTTAATCCATCCACGAACATGGAGGGGAAGGTGCTGGACCACATTCTCTACGAAGAGGATCAGCTTACGTGTCTTAGTGTGCTGCGCTTAGGGGACAACCGCTATCTCCCTACGCGAACGATTCCAAGTGACCATTATATGGTTGGTGCGCTTCTGGTTCCGAATGTGTTCCTCACTCAAGCCCTTGAGCAGTTGCAAGGTCCTAGTGAATGACCGATATCGTGTTGTGGATTTGAAAACTTTTTTTTATTCCATTGCCTCCTATGCTTTTTAGTTATTATTTTTTTTCATTTGAGGTTCCTGAGTTTAAAATTTTTTTTTTGATTATGTGCTAGATTTTTTCATGTAAGGTTTCTTCTAAGGGATACTGTAATTTGTAGTAGAAAGTCCTTCTTTCTTCGACTAAGGTATAAAGGAAATTGATTTTGACGTGTGTCAGCGGTGTATATTTGTTTAATAAGTCTGACCGACAAAGTTTAAACTAAAATATTATATCTATATACATGTATATAGTCATAACATCGGAAGCTATTAATGGAATATCAAATAAAGCATTCGTTTATTGATTTAATTTGCATATATTTTATCGTCTATTATTGGATTTTCTCCATTTCCTAGAGATTTTATTGCAAACACGTTATTGCATGTTTGACGTATCGGAATCGACAACGACAACGACATCAATATGCGTGTAGAATTTTTTTAAGAGGTGATTACTTGATATTTTTTATTTTGCATATTTGAAGAACATGTAATAGTTGTTTTCACTTTTTCCTGTACATTTCTAAGTTGAACTATTATATCTATATCTATATCTATCTATCTATATCTCTCTTTATATATATATATATATATTGGTTTAAGGGGATGGAGTCAAAGATCAAAGAAATTAAATCACGGAGAGGTTATTTTTATCAATGAAAATTTCAGAAAAGGACCACATGAATGCCAATTACGCGGCTATTTAATATCAAATCTCATTATTTTGCAGTTATTCTTCTGCTTGTATCTTGACTAATATCACATGTAATGTTTTTTTTCACGATTAATTTTTTCTGTGTCTGTGAATATGTATTGATAATTGCTGAAGTTCCAGCTTTGAGTTTTATTTTTCGAAGTCTCAGCGAACTATAAATACGAATTGACTGTAAATATTTTGCATATATCGCAGACGTGATCTTATGCGATACCGAATACCTTGTCTTGATGGCTTGGCATTCATTTTATCAAGGTTTTTTGTGCCCATTGACAGAAAATGTAATTCAGCATATGACACTGGAGTGTCTATAATGCGCGTTTCAGAGTAATGTAAATACTATTTTTTTCACCCCTTGAGCATCTAAGATATATTGTGGAACTGATCGATGAAATTCTAAGTACCCATTCATTATTCATGTATTTATGGTACTTTTTATTGTTTTGGCATATTTGTTCTTACGTTTGCTGGTCCTCTACTTTGCAATATATATATATATATGTTGTATTTTTTTTAGGACTAAGAAGTTGATGAACAGTCAAGAGAAGAGTAGCATAAACAATAGGGAGTAATTTGTAAAGAAGGGTATAATAAGGCCTGTATTTTTGAGTAGTTTACTTATGATTTAATTTTTTTTTCGCATTGCACACCATATGTGTTGAAAAAATTCGGACTCGGCTCATAAAAGATCATTATGGGAAAGAATTATTTCAAAACTTAAACATTTACCTTTATTTGGAATGTCATTGGTATATCTAAATAAAGGATCATGAAGGTGTCAACTTACGTTTGTTTATTAGTGTATATTTGAATGATTTGACTACTTGTAAATGGGAAAGAACAAGTTATACAAAACTTGCTTTCGTAAACCTAAATTGCCTGTTTGACCTAATGCAACTGCCAATAAAATGGTTTGGATGATTCATTTTTTCTCCCTTTTATCTATTTACATTACACTTTCATACAAAGAGATTGAAAATGCTTCGACCAACATCGGCCTCATTAGCGAAGCCGATTGTGAATCGCAAGCGGCCTCAGTTATGGGGTGCCCCAGGGGCCCCGATTATTCGTATGCGCGGGCATCATGTCGTCTGGAAGTTTCAATCCTACGACATCTTTGTCGAGCACACGCACACACGCCGTAATTCCGATTTGCGTCTATTGCACTATCTCGGGAAGCATTGCCCGCACCCACAGAAGTCTTTATGGTCGCCGGACACTCCTGTTATGCAGGATCGCCATCTTTTCATGCTCACCACCATCGATATCGACGCCTTTAAATACTGGTTTGGGGTGAAACGTTGTAGGCTGTCGGTTGGGCCGTGGAATATTTTGGCGAAGTCGGGGCTTCTGCCGCCATCTCACCGGCAAAACTCCAAGATTATGCCGAAACCTATCTTTGACAAGACACAATTGATGCGTTATTTCTTGGCGAATCGAAAAGATGAACAACTGCTAGTTCGAGAGGATTATCTTAATTACCAGAATAGCATGGTAAAAACGCCCGAGGAACGAGCTGCTGAAAGGCCAGTTGCGCCGTATTTGTAGTCTAAGGGGAGGTTTTGGATTACTTTTATCCGCTAAGGTTTCTTGTCAGGAAATATTTTTATTGCAACCCTAGAACTATCATGCAGTGTAAACGGCACGCGTAACAATGCTTGGGTAGAAGCTTGTTCGAACATTTGTCTGAACATCGTACTTAATCTAGACGATTTATTATGACAGGATTTATCCTTCCCTTTTCACTCCATTCTCTAAATTTTTATTCGTCTCTTTAATATCTTTTCCATCAAACGCGTCATATTTTTACTATACAAATAGGATCATTATCATTTTATCGATTTAACCTAGACAAAACTGCAGCAAGATAATTTCGATTCGTATATATATGCGTATATATACACGTATCCTAAACATTTCCTTTTTTTTATTAACGACATAACAAGATGGAGTCTCCACTTAATCCAGCTATTCCTAGATTCTTCTTTAATGCATTCCTGGGAGGTCTATCAATTGCCTCTATTTATTCAGTCTACCATCAGATGAAGGACATGCAATCCTGCATGCACGATATCTTTAAGAGACTGGACATCGCAAAGAAGGAGGAGGAAAAAGTGACCATCCTGCATGAAATCCTAAGCCGCTTGCAGTCCGACGCCATTAAGAAGGAGTTTTCTTCCCGTCTTTCATCATCCAAGCACGGCAGTTCACTTGTGAGGTTGGTGAAGCTCGCCAAAGATGAGTCCAACACGGAGTCAGTGAGTATTTCACTCAAGGTGATGGTACGTGTATTCGGCTCCGACGCGGACGGTCGTGCGGTATTAAATAGGCTTGACGCCTACAAAGTACTGCTCACCTCCCTCAGTGAGGCTCATCGCCAGGGAAATCAGGATCTCATGGAGGAGATCGCGGACACCCTGAAGAACCTCACGCAGGTGGACGACGCGATGGTGGTACTCGATACGGACGTCCCTAAGGGCTCTGAAGGGGCATACACCCTGGCTAAGATGCCAGCCACCGTGAAGATGCTCCGAATTATCGATCCGGATAGCCCCATTCTCTTTCTCAGCGCCCTCACTGGTATTTTCGCAAACGTCTGCACCCTCAGCCTTGGTGCGATTAATATGGGGAAGGGAACCGATGGCTACAGCGGTATTTCTTTCTTCTTCCGCCTGCTTGATCACAAAAATCATAGTATCATCGACAACTGCATCAGGGTCATTTGCTATATGGCACGTGCAAAAGTGGGGCTACTGGAAATTTCGACAAAGGAAAACATTGAGCGCCTTGCGACTAATTTTCATCTAAACATGGAATCTGCGATCAGCAACCATATTCTTACCATTATTCTCACCATGGCTGGTACTGAAGAGAGCAGAGAGTTGTTCTTGACGCATTTCATCTCTAGTTCTATTCCACAGCGGCTTTTTGAGATTTGGACGCGGTCGCCCGAAAAGTCTTTGCGAAGTCGATCTGAGGTTTTGTGCCGTTTGCTTACTCGTATTCCGCAGAGTGCGTCTAAAATGTCGTCGTTGTTTGACCGTTATCGTGTTGAGATTGCGGATCGGCGCCATAAAGACGAACAAGAGTTCCAACAGCAGATGCAGCAAATGCAGCAAAGTCAGTTTATGCAGCGAATGATGATGGAGCAGATGGGCATGGATCCCCTTTCAATGGGTTAACTCGTGTTCATCCGTATCTTAACTTTTTAAAAAATTGTTGTCGGAGAATTTAAAGAGGATACCGTTTAATATTTTTTCTTAAATATTTCTGAGGATTTTTGTTTAGGTTTCGAAGTGCCTCTTACTTTCGTATTTGTGTGTTCTTTTCACAGCAATCACAGTCCAGTTAGTCTTTTGTTGTTATCACTTTTTTTTTCCTTTCCAATGATTCGAGTTAAGATCAGGCGTAACAACCATAGTATGATGGAAATATCCCTCAAGGACTTGACTTCTGAGAGAGGCGCCACTCAGAAGGTTTATTTCAGAAGGTAAATAAAAATATCAGAGATCAGAAAAAGAGTAGAATTAAACGGTTGCAGAAACATTCTCTAATATGATGAATAAGTTTAATTGAGTGAGATTGAATGGTAGAAATATAGGAAGAATCAATGGATCTCATTAAGTGTTTTTTTTTTATAACGCTCATTGTGAAAATTGGTGTTAGCGTATTCTTATTTTACATTGAATTCCACGATTTGTTTAATTCTTTTTCGTTTGGATCTTATCGTTATGGTTTATCAATTCGCAGTAGAAGGTAGAGCAATATTAGGACAGAGAAGGACATACGTGGGCTTACACAGGAAAGATAATTGACGTCTCGTCAAAGCTTCCTTTCTATTTTCTTTGAAGTTAATAGAAAGGAAGAAATGACTGAAGTGAGCAGCGTGAGTTCTGCTGAGAAGGATAATCCTGAAAAGTCTTCGGTGATTCCTGAGCTGACCTATGCTCTGTTGTCGCCCAACGAGAGCTACAACAGTGAGTTGGCTTTGAGTGAGCGCGAGCAGAAATGGAGATTCACCCTTTCGGACCTTCAATGTGCAACCAAGGTAGTTAGTAGACTATTCCGTGATCCGTCTCTTTTCATTGGGGATCCATACCTCGCTGATAGCCGCTTGTACGTCATGATAACTCGCGATCGCAAAACAAAACGTGAAAATCGAGAAGTCTACAAGACCATTATGAATGAAGAGAAAAACCGAAGAAAGAAATATGAGCGGATGAGAGATGCCGAGGCGATCGGTCGCACTGGCATGAAGCGCGAACGAATTGAAGCATTGAACGTCCTTACACTCAAAGATGTTGATAGTGACTCTTCACCACTTTTGTTATGCGGGGATCAATGCCCACAGGGTAGCTCTGCACAATCCGTAGGGCCCGAGGATGTTACGTTAAACGATCCAACGAAAATCAACGAGCCTTGTAATGAAAAAGTGAACCAAACGGATGACAAAGAATTAACTACGACTGAGATCGATCTCCTTCGTCTCATTGGGGCCTTTGAGAACTTGCTTCGTCTCGAGCAGGTTCTGCGCTCTGAGCCCATCGGCCCCACCTCGACATCGCCAAGCTCTCCACCAAATGCCTCTACGGGATCATCGCCATTGAACGAAACCGCGGCTCGCTCAAAGGTCGAATCACCCGATGGCGCTCTGCCCACCTTCACAAAGGTGAATGGCCCCTGCCCTCGGTGCGAGAACACTCAATGCCAGTGCTGTGACCCTTTTCTGTCGCCTTCTGGGGCTGGGGAGGTGGCCATGGTGGTATGCCCGCCAAGGGCCTCCACGCCGGTGGGCCCCGAGGCCGTTGATTACGTCGCGGCCACGCAGCTCACGGCCCAGGTCTATCGCTACCTTCCCCATGGCTTTGGCTCCCAAATGCCCCCTGCGCTCTTTCCGGGCCTCATGCCACGCGCCCTGTCCCCCAAGGCACAATGCCGTTACATCAGCGGGTTTAAGCTCGCCCTAGCACGTAGGCTCCTCGCACCGGGTGGGCCGCAAAGCCCTGGCGGCGACCTCGAGCTATCCGACCTTACGTCTTTCTCCAGCGGTGAGCCGTCGGAGTTGGTTCGATTCCTCCATCGTGTTGGTAATCGCGACCTCATTCTGCACCGCTTGTCGGTGCCGGTGCTTTTAAATCAGGTGGAATTTCTGCGAGACTTGGTCGGTGGTCGAAAGAGCGTCCAGTGCGGTCTTGAGGGGACTTCATTGCAGGCCAATTTCAGCGTCTGCGCTGACCCACAGTCTCTCTTGGATGCCATCGAGTTGGCCCTGACTGAAGAAGGTAGGGGGGAGAAGATGGGCCAATCCCTATCAACGTCGTCTGTGAATCTTCCACTCTCTACTCCTGAGTTTTTTTCTGAGCAAACCTTGAATCTTTTTATTGCTCGACGTCTGTACGACAACGAAAGTCTTATGAGATTCGGTAGTTCGCCGATTGTAATTGAACGGAGTGCACCCATTTCAGAATCTGAAGAGTTGGATGGCTGGAGTATCTTTGACGAGGTCCAGCAGTATGCCTGTACGCGACACGACAACCTCAAGTTTAGTCGCTGGAGAAGCTGCAGTACGTGCAGAGTTCGTTATAATGATCTCCACCCATATTACTATAGTATGTGCCATCTTTGTGGGGAATTTAACTACAACAAGCGGCTCCTATCACGGGATCTACGCGGCAAGACCGTGCTCCTAACTGGGTGTCGTATTAAAATTGGCTATGCCATGACTCTTTCTTTGTTGCGATGTGGTGCTGTTGTCTTGGGGACGACGCGCTTTGTGCACGAAGCCGTCGCGCGGTTCCAACAGGAGGCTGATTATGAGGAATGGAAAGATCGACTCATCCTGTTTTCGTTGGATTTGCGTGATCTGTGGGTCGTGACTCAGTTTTGTAGCTTTATCCGGCAACGCTATCCTAAGCTGTTTGCAATCATCAATAATGCAGCTCAGACCATTGCACGAACGCCGGAGTACACCGCTCATCTCCGTCAGATCGAGGCGAACCCCTCGCCTGACCTACGACGTGTGATTGAGGCTGATCGTTATTCCTTGGAGTGGTTTTCCTTTTTCTGTGCTCACTCCTCTGTTATGGTAGGACAGCCACTGACGATTGAGCATCATCCCCATAATCATCCTTATTTATCCCTGACAACTTCATGTGAAGAGAAGGGTCAAACAGTCAGCCTTACGGATTCTTCCGCTAAGATAAGTGAATCTTCAAGGATAGACTTGCAAAATAATCATTCGCTTATTACTGAGCAAGCCGTTCCTGCGAACGTTGTATCTGACCGTACCCTTATTTTTGACCGTTACGATACACAGGCTGAGCAAAGTGATTACCGTGAGACTAATTCGTGGGTCATGAAGCTTGGAGAAGTTCAGGGAAGTGAGGCCGCTGAGGTGATGACTATCAATGCATTGTCACCCTTTATTCTTAACAGTAAGCTAAAACCCTGTTTGATGAATTGCGAGGTTGAGGAAGGGACCTCCTATGTGCGTTCCGAACCCCGTTTTATCATCAATGTCTCAGCAATGGAGGGCCAGTTCTACCGCTTCAAACAAACAACACACCCGCATACAAACATGGCCAAGGCGGCATTGAACATGATGACCCGCACTAGTGCCGAGGACTACGCTAAGGATGGAATTTACATGAACTCTGTAGATACAGGATGGATAACTGATGAGTCTCCCAAAATTCAACGGGAGCGTCGCTCTGATACCTTTGCTTTGTGCCCACTGGACGAAGTAGATGCTGCAGCTCGCTGCCTTGATCTTATATATATCAATAGCACTGCATACGGGGCTTTTTTTAAAGACTATCACGAAATTCCCTGGTAATCATTGCTGTTCAATAAATTAAGTCTTGCTCTGTATAGAATTAATGCTTTTTAAAGTAGATACTTGAGTTAATTCTTTGGCACTCCCCCCCTCCTCCTCCCAATAATAATAATAATGATGACAATAAATACGAATGGATATGATCAATGGCAATGTGTTACACCTAAAGACTGCTCAAAATAAACATTAATTACAAGAATATTCATAGTCGTTGTATTTCGCTTATTTGGATCCATTGGGGTTGAATACAACCAATGCCAATGTTTGTCTGTTTTTTGTCATTATAACAATTCTTTATTTCACATTTACCGACATCTTTTAATTTTTTTTCTAGCATGTATTTTGAAAGTATAGATACTTCTTCCTATTACATTGATAACTGATACCAAAATTCAACAAAAAGGTTCCATATCCTTCAGGGAACGTATTAAATCTAAGTGGAAGTGAAAATGACCGCATCTACTACGAATCGTGAAGCCTTAGCTATCCCTGCTCCTGGTGATAGGTTTTGCAAGTCTGGGGTAGAAAGGGTGATTCAGGATGTTTGTAAGGAGTTACTCGGTGAGAATTCTCGCTACGTCCCCGAGGAGGTGCAATCCTTAATTAAAGATTTAGGGAACGAGATTCAGCAGCGCATAGTACGATTGGGGTATGAGCGGTATAAATTGATTACACATTGCGTTGTTACAGAGGCAGCAAATCAAGGCCTGCGTGTGTGTTCACGGTGCCTTTGGGATCCGGATGCGGACAACTACGCGCGGTATACCTTTACCAATCAGTTCATGCATGTTAATATCGTCGTGTTTGGCATATACTGGGGTTGAGGAGGGTACCAATTCTATTTTGAGGAGAACGCATATCAATAGGTGCATTGGTTTCTCTTTTCTCCATATACATCTATATGTATATGTTTACCGAAACTCTTCAATGTATAATAATTGAAAAAAAAAAAGTACAACTTTTGGGAAATTTAAACATGTAATATACTGGAAATATATATGCCATGTATGTATTTTTGAATACGATTTCATTATTTGGAATATTTTTCTTCTTCTCCACCTTACTCGATTTTCTAAACAAGTGCAACTCTCTAATACGGACATGTCCAAGAACCAGGAAGCCAAGCGCTACGGCCCCAACGTCAGCAAGGATACGCTGGTTTACGGCGTGGTACACATTTACGCTTCCTTCAATGACACTTTCGTGCACGTGACGGATACCTCCGGCCGCGAGACCTTCGTGAAGGTGACTGGCGGGATGAAGGTGAAGGCCGACCGCGATGAGTCCTCCCCCTACGCAGCGATGTTGGCTGCCCAGGACGTCGTCGCGCGGTGCAAGGAGTGTGGCATCAACGCCCTCCACGTCAAAATGCGCGCGACCGGCGGCGTGAAGACGAAGAGCCCGGGCCCAGGCGCCCAGGCTGCCCTTCGCGCTTTGGCCCGCGCGGGGATGAAAATCGGCCGCATCGAGGACGTCACGTCCATCCCGACCGACTCCACCCGCCGAAAGGGCTCCCGTCGGGGTCGCCGTCTGTAAAGAATCAGGGAGTATTGGAAGCGCACGGAATCCATGTTTTGCCTTTTTTATTTAATACTTATTTTATAACAACAACTGCTGTAGGGTGCCCTTCAGCTACGTTTCATCCGCAGAGAGGTTCAATAACCCCACCGCGCTTTTCTAGTGAATAAAGCAGGATGTTACATCAGTACTAGCTTCTTTTTCTTCCTTACGTTCTTCCTTTATTTTGAAATTTTGAATTGTTTTGAGGTTTAGCTTGTGATTTTAAATTTAGTCATCACATTCGTGTCAATACACTAGATAAAAAAAGATTTTCCATTCCAAGGACACTGACTCATACCATTCTAATTCTAGGTCTCGTATTATTAGCATGAGCAGCAACGTAAAGTTCTTAATCAATGAATCCATATCAGGGACAGGTCGTAGCACCAACACTGGAAATCATAGCAAACCCGAGCGGGCGATTATTCTTCCATATGATATCCTTTACAACCTGCAAGGCCGCCGAGTGACGATACTGCTGTCTGTCCGCGGCGAGGAGCTCGAGGGCATCTTGCGCACCGTTGACAACGACCGGGGTGACCTTATGTTGGAGGATGTCGTGCATTATGAGTGGTTGGCGGCCCTTCCAGAAGGGCATGATGGAACATCCACTGAGCATGATCACACTGGTCCGAAGGGACCCTTTCGCACATGCTTATTTGGTGGGGTTCGCCGTGAAGTCAGGCGTTGCGCTACTGCGATGGTTAATAGCAAGTTCATCCACTTAATAACACCTACACTTTTTGGGGAAGAAAAATCCTCAAGTTAGAACGGTTCAGTTTTTATTTTTTCTCTCTCCGTAAGAGGAATACAAAGTATTAGTTGCCTGGTAATTTTTTACAACAGGACCGTCATAAAAAAGTATCATCACCACTGCAACAAAATCCTAATGTCTGTGTGAGGCTTTTGTTTTGCATCCGCCTTTAACTTTAGCACCTTCTTGTTTGGCCTTACACCATTTTATTTTTTCACCTTTTTTTTATCCTCTTCTCAAGCTGAAGGATTCTCTTTACTATTTTTTTAACAATGTTTTCGAGAGTTATGTTTTATCATACATCAAAAAGCGCAAATAGAATGTGAACTCTCACCACCCCGAAGGAAATGCGATTTAGTGGATACCTGTGTTAAGGTTATATTGACACGACAATTGCACGGAGTCTTGCGCATTATCTTGTTCTTCTAGACACGTCACATGGCCATATTTCTCTTCAGTTTGATGACATCGGTTTCCAGTGGGGATTTGTTGGAAATTTACTGCTTACACCCTGTGCTCCGCCACAATGCATTTCAAGAACATCGGATATGTGAAGCAGATAATAATGCTTGAGTGAAATCCTTCGAATCTTACGTCCATCTTGTCAGTTAATATCTTGAACTGTGTTTTCTTCTACAAAAAGATCCATGTCATGTGCATTGATATGGTAAAGCTTTAGTAACGCCTGACTGCTGTGCCTTTAGAGTGGTGCTTCGCTCTTTAGCAGCTGGCGTCTTTACATTTTTTTTCCATACGATGCTTATTAACCATGTATCAAAAGCATCAGTGACATTCTATTTGGAATTATTGCACTGAGAAAGACAAGTTGATTTGGTTATAGAAAAAATAGAAAAAAGTTTCAATACATATTTCTGTTTACTTCTCTTCTAATATTAGGTGTCTCACTTTTCATGTGCACACAATATAAAGAAGAGATCATGAATTTGTGACTTCCTTTTTCCTTTATGCAACTGTTTCCATCCTTAATTATTATTATTTGACTTCAATGATTGAATTTTATGAAAGGTCAATTCTATTACTAGTTGAAATCATTTTTTTTATGTTCTGTAAGTTTGCCATGTGAAAATTCGATCAACTCAATATACTTTATTGTCATTACTATTATTAAATATTGTCATTTTTAAACTAATGTTACAACAGATGATTAACAGTGAAAATATTTTTTTGTGATTAGAAATTTTCAACACTTATCAACAATAAAAGCTGATATATTAATTTACTAATATAAATATATATTTTGCGTTTCGTAATCTTTTTCCATT